CGGATGGATCACTTGAGGTCAGGAGTTCAACACCAGCCTGGTCAACATCACAAAAGCCCGAATCTACTAAAAAAGAAATACAAAAATTAGCTGGGTGTGGTGGCCAGCGCCTGTAATCCCAGCTACTCAGCAGGCTGAGGCAGGAGAATCCTCAAACCTGGGAGGCAAAGGTTGCAGTGAGCCGAGATCGCACCACTGCACTCTGGCCTGGGAGACAAAGTGAGACTCCATCTACAAAAAAGAAAAAGAAAATAGACACTGGACAACACAGGAGGAAGGGACGTAACTGCTAGTCACACCAGGCTAGAACTGCAGGCAAGAAACACAAGGCCCCCTGGGTCGGCTGAATGTGACCCCGAAATCACAGCCCCTGGCAGGGCCGTGGACTTCAGCCTGGGAGGGTCCTACGGACAGGAACTGCCTCTGACTCACATCCTCTGTCTCCCTGTCTGCAGGCCCAGCCCTGGTGATCCTTGACCAAGTGCTGGTTTTGCCAGCCTTGGCCCCAAGAACAAGGCCAGGATTTGGGGGAGGTGAGGGAGACACTCATCTTAGGGACAGAATGCAGGAGAATGCCCTAGAAACTCAACCACGAAGATAAATTATGTGTGTGTGTATGTGTATGCATGTGTATATATATATACACACACACACATAATTTTTAAAACAATTTAGTGGTTTTCGGTATATTTGCAAGGTTATGTGACTAAAACTACTCCAATTCCAAAACTCTGTACCCATTAGCAATCACTCCCCATTCTCTTTTCGGCCCAGCTCCAGGCAACCACTCATGTGCTTTCTGTCCCCGTGGGTTTGCTTATTCTGGACATTGCATACAAATGGAATCATATCATACGTACACTATGTTGTCTTCCGTGGCTGGCTTCTTTCACTTAGCATAATATCTTCACAGTCTATCAGTATCACAGCGGCCAGGCACGGTGGCTCACACCTGTCATCCAGCACTTTGGGAGGCTGAGGCGGGCAGATCATTGAGCCTAGGACTTTGAGAACAGACTGGGCAACATGGCAAAACCCCGTCTCTACCCAAAAAAAAAAAAAAAAAATAGCCAGTCTCATAACCTGGTCTCGAAAAAATGGATAAATATCAGTATCACAGGATGTATGAGTAGTTTGTTCCTTTTCATTCCCAAAGGCTATTCCGTGGTCTGCATGCACCACATTTTGCCTGTGTATCCACAAGTAATGGACACATGGAGCTGTCTCCGCTTCTTGGCTATTGTGACCAATACTGCCATGAACATTTGTGTGCAGGTCTTTGTGTGGAAATATCTTTTTGTTTCCCTCAGGTGTATATATAACTAAGAGTGGAACTTTGGGCTCATGTGACAAGATAAGTACTATTTTAAGGCAGTATTTTTTTTTAATAAAAATTAAT